TTATTAAAACTGAAAGTAATGTCGTTACTGAGTGTGGAGAATATAAAAGCCTGAAATAATCATATAAACGTCAGAGGCGTTTTTTACGTATTAACGTCACACACAGACTCAAAAAGAAGGTCCGGCTCGATGTTTAGATCTCAAACGATCTCAAAATCAACATCATGCTGGAAAGCATAGTTTTGGAAAGTAGTGATGAAGATAACAGAGCATTTTGATATGAATCATATGAGGATCATGTTATATGAAGAGCCTTTAAAGAAGAGTTTAAAAAGAAATAAATAGAAATAAATAAAAGAATAAATCCAGAGAGAATGACCTCAGAACACAGAGGGTAAAGTTGAATTTAGCACCTCAGACTCAGAACCCTAAACGTCTCCGCTGCTGTGGGATCTGTACTGAAACAGTGAGGAGTTTAATCTGAGACTCTTCCTGATGGAGCTGAATGAAGACGAAGCCGACGCCGTCTCTGCCATCAAAGCTCTTTCTAGGCTTTAAACTGAGGGGATCCCCAAAGCCGGCAGGATGAAGGAAAGCGTGTCACTCGCCTTCCTGCTGTCATTCTTAGAAAATCCCTCCCGGCTCAGCGTTCGTGAGGAAAAGGACGTCTCCGAATGGCACTGACGGAAGAATCCAGTCTGTGTTCCAGTGAAAGCAGTGATATGTGGGAAAGAACTCCGTAAATCAGACCTGTATAGAAGTACCTCAGTCTGGTCAGAGGAGATTCGGCTGATGGCCGTTGTTGTAGCCGGTTTGGGTCTAATGTGCATTTTTGCTCTAATAATTCTGTAAAATCTCACCGTCTGTATAAATGTGACATGTTCAATATGGCCGCGCTCTCAGAGACGAGCTCCTAATGTGTAACGAACCCGGATTGTGACTGTAATTGGTGTAATTCCCAGCTGGTGGTTCCGGAATATTCCATCCACGGACTGTTCTGCCTGATGTTCATGTGTGCGGGCGAGTGGGTCACTCTGGGCCTCAACATCCCTCTGCTCTTCTATCACCTGTGGAGGTAAAAAAACCCACACTCACTTACAGCACTACCGCACACTAGAACACAGTACCGCACAGTACCACACACTACCGCACACTTCCATACATCACACGATACCACACAATAACACACACCACCACACAATAACACACAATACTACACAATAACACACAATTCCATACATCACATAATACCACACCACTACCATGCAGTACCACACATATACACCACACAATGCCATACACTACCACTCAATATCAAACAGTACTGTACACTACCGCACTCTATCATACATTAACACACTCTACCACACAATACTACACCACCACACAACTACCACACATTGTCATACACTACTATCACACACTTCCATACAGCACATACCAAACACTATCATGCACCACCTCACACTACTTTACAATACCACGCACTACTTTACATTCTTTAAAAAGATGTTTTTTCAGGGGTTCTTTAGTAAATAAAATGATTATATATAGAATCTCGAACACTCAGAACCCTTTCCGTGCTTAAATGGTTCTTTGCATGGTGAAATTGTTCTTCAGATTGATTTAGATTGTTGTGTATGGTTCTACATATGACCAAAAAGGTTCTTCTGTTGTTAGGGTTAGGGTTAGCTTGACATTATAACAACAGCAGAACCCCTTTTGGTGCTATAGAACCATTTTCAATAAGGTTCTATATAAAACCAACACATTCTCCATCAATCTGAAGAACCATTTCACCGTGCAGAGAACCCTTTAAAAATGCAGATGTTTCTTTAAGTGTTCATGGTTCTATGTAGAATTATTGTCTTAACTAAAGAACCCTTGAAGAACCATCTTTCTAAGAGTGTACATTACCACCCCTGAGTTAATGTGTGTGTTTGGCCTGCAGGTTCTTCCACCGGCCGGCGGACGGGTCAGAGGTGATGTACGATCCGGTCAGCGTGATGAACGCAGACATTCTGAACTACTGCCAAAAAGAGTCCTGGTGCAAACTGGGCTTCTACCTGCTGTCCTTCTTCTACTACCTGTACAGGTGATAGCTGGAACGCTGCTCACACTCTGATCATCAGTGCCCACTCTCCGCTCCTCACCGCTCCCTCACTCACCTCCTCACCGCTCCCTCACTCACCTCCTCAGCACTCCCACTCTCACCTCTTCACCACTCCCTCACTCGCCTGCTCACCGCTCCCACACTCACCTCCTCACCGCTCCCTCACTCACTTCCTCAGCACTCCCACTCTCACCTCTTCAGCACTCCCCATCACTCTGCCTCCTCACCGCTCCCTCACTCGCCTCCTCACCGCTCCCTCACTCACCTCCTCAGCACTCCCACTCTCACCTCTTCACCACTCCCTTACTCGCCTCCTCACCGCTCCCACACTCGCCTCCTCACTGCTCCCATACTCGCCTCCTCACTGCTCCCACACTCACCTCCTCAACGCTCCCAAGCTCCCCGCACCGCTCCTGCACTCGTCTCCTCACCGCTCCTACACTCACCTCCTCACCGCTCCCACTCTCGCCTTCTCACTGCTCCCTCACTCGCCTCCTCACCATTCCCACACTCACCTCCTCAGCACTCCCACTCTCACCTCCTCACTGCTCCCACACTCACCTCCTCACCCATCCCACTGTTGCCTCCTCACCGCTCCCACTCTCGCCTCCTCACTGCCTTCACTCTCACCTCCTCACCACTCCCTCACTCACCTGCACCGCTCCCTCACTTATCTCCTCACCACTTCCACTCTCACTTCCTCACTGCTCCCACTCTTACCTCCCGAGCGCTTCCTCACCACTCCTGCACCCCCCCACGGCTCCCACTCTGGCCTCCTTACCACTCGCCTCCTCACCGCTCCCAGTCTCACCTCCTCACCGCTCCCACTCTTGCTTGTTCACCACTCCCACTCTTGCCTCCTCACCGCTCCCTCACTCCCCCGCACCGCTCCCGCACTTGTCTCCTCACCACTCCTACACTCACCTCCTCACCACTCCTACACTCACCTCCTCACTGCCTCCTCACTGCTCCCACTCTTGCCTCCTCACCACTCCCACACTCACCTCCTCACTGCTCCAACTTTCGCTTCCTCACCCTCACCTCCTGACCGCTTCCACTCTCACCTCCTCACCGCTCCCACACTTGCCTCCTCCCTGCTCCCAGACTCACCTGTGTGTAACCACTCCCGCACTCACCTCCTCACCTCCGAGAGCTCCCACTCTCACCTCCTCACTGCTCCCACTCACCTCCTCACCGCTCCCACACTCGCCTCCTCACCCTTGCCTCCTCACCGCTCCCACCCTCGCCTTCTCAGCTCCCATTAGTCAATAACAATTAAGGACCGCTACTAACAATTTAATGTTAATAATAAAGCAAAATAGAACCTCAAACTGTTAAATGACTGAACAGAAGTGTGTATAACGGACTGTGTATTATATACTGTTCATTAAATAATGTTTAAACATATTAAATGTCAAAGTGATCTTCTGGTTATAAACAGAACAGATTTCTAGTGCAATTTGTTTCACTGACTTTGAGATATTCTGACCCGTCTGTCGGACGTCTGCTATCCTTATTCTCTTTCAGCATGGTGTACGCTCTGGTCAGCTTCTAATGGATGAGTCCAGGAGAAGAACAGACAAATGGAGAAAGAAAGAAAGAAAGAAAGAAAGAAAGAAGGAACAACAAAGTGGAAAAACGACAAATCCCCCCCCTTTCTCTCGTCCTCCTACTTCTCCAGCTCAGCAACAGCAACAGAGGAACCGAACCACACACACACACAAAGAGAACATCTACTCACTCACTGCATTCACAGACCGAGAGGAGGAGGACGAGAGAGAGAGAGAGAGAGAGAGAGTAGGAGAGAGGGGGAGAGGGAGAGAGAGAGAGAAAGCGAGAGAGAGAGAGAGTGGGAGAGAGGGGGGGGGGAGAGAGAGAGAGAGAGAGAGAGAGAGAGAGAGAGAGAGAGAGGCTCTAGCAGCACTGATGTTCTGTAATAGAGTTTAATCCTAAGGGCTGCTGAACATTCCTGCTGCTCAGAGCAACTCGGAGAACCTTAACCACCGCGATGAGATTTAAGCGTAAAATTCAGAAAATTAGCTTTTTTGTTTTTCCGTCACTTCCGATCTAGGAATTATTTTACGTCATAAAGTCCTTTCATTTTGGAGATCTGTGGAGAACGTTGTGGAACAGCAGACGGGTGTGTAGTTAGAGTTTAGACCAAACCGTCGCTATCTCAGTGTTCGTGGTAGATTCTTTTAACGCTGGTAGGAACCGAGTGTCATATCGGTTTATTATCTTAGCTCAGCTGTTATTCCAATCCAGGGTAGATCATCTAGTGTCCTTACAATAAAACACACACACTCCTGCACAGACGCCAGATTTCTACACCGACACACACCACGATGTTTACACTGAAACTCCAAATCGACCAATGAGACGAGACCATCCAGGCCGGATAAACTGTAGGACCTGTGGGACTTTGGGGATGGACGGTGATGACTGTGCGGGTCAGGCTGAGCAGCCTTACAGAAAAGCAAACGCCTCCGTAACACTGTGGGGACCAAACTCGGACGCACGGGCGGGACGGACCTCCTGGATCTTCTGGATCGAAGCTGTGGACACAGATGGTGTTGAGCTGATGAGAACTTTACACGTGCAATGATGAACTGTGATGATGGAGATGGTGTTGCGGTGATGATGGTGCTGATAAGAATGAGGATGATGATGATGATGATGATGATGATGCTATTAAAGCGATAGTTCAGTGAAAATCTCCACGTTTACCCTCAGAAACATCAATCAGCCGAAACACGTTTGGTGTTTAGCTTTGAGCTACTTTATATGTATTTACACACACATGTATATTATATATACAGGGTTTAAAAAAGCAGTGATGGCTGAATACTAAATACTGAATACTGAATACACTGTACTAAATGTATTCAGTCATACTACATTACAGTACACAAGAGTTCTTTAGTAAAGACAGTGGTTCTATATAGAA